AGCTGATGGATACATTGGATCCGGTACCAGGCGGGCGAAGCCCACTTAGAAAGATTTGGTTAATACATTGGTTCTGGTACCAGCCGGGCGAAGGCCGCTTAGAGGGCTTTAGTCAGAGCCCGGTTCTGGTTCTGGTTCTGGGGATCGGACCCAACCGGACCGGGGCCGGACCCAGCCATGTCGTACCTCGTTGCGTAGGTCTTTTTCTCAGCTTTCAGCCAATGTGACCCCCGACCTGCTCAAACCAATTGCATTCAGTCAGCGGGCCCCAGAGCTCAGCCGGGTCCTTCCATCACTGCGTCTCTCCCTCAGGCCCTCTCATAGGCATAAGCCCACATTACAGAGAGCCCAAATATTCATTGTCCAAATTTTGAGGGCACCAGGAAGCCTGCCCCGGGCTCCTGGACGGGCAGTAGGTGGCCCCCCTCAAAATGTATTTAGAAATTTTCTCGTTTCATCTAACGTGCATGTTTTCGGACTGTTTAAGGCAGAGTATCCATACAACCTCAACATAGGATGATTAACTTTCTAATTCTTCCCTTTCCCCTGCAGGGCTCTGAGAAGGACAGGACAGTGGAGCTGTATCATTACACCCAGTGGCCAGACGGGGGCGTCCCAGAGTTCGCTCTGCCTCTCCTCTCCTTTGTTCGGAAGTCGTCTAGAGCCTGGAGGGGTCCCGGACCGGTTCTGGTCCACGGCAGGTAACCTCCTCCAGCAGCAACTGGCCTCATCAACAAGGCTAGCAACCCCCAACTATTCTTCTCCCACCCCCCTCTACCTCACTAATTTACCCAATGCTACTGTCAGCATTTTCTGGTCTGTCGTTGCAGATCAACATTGCACATTTCAATTGTTCATTTGTACATTCAGATCTATATTTTTAAAGTTTGTTCATTTGTACATTGGGATCTATATTTTTAAAGATTGTTCATTTGTACATTCAGATCTATATTTTTAAAGATTGTTCATTTGTACATTCAGATCTATATTTTTAAAGTTTGTTCATTTGTACATTCGGGTCTATATTTTTAAAGTTTGTTCATTTGTACATTGGGATCTATATTTTTAAAGACTGTATTTTTCAGTTTTATCATTTCTGTCCTATATTTTTAATTTATACACTTTATTTCTTGCTTCTCATAGAAGTGTTGTGTTGAGCACCTAATACCAAGGCAAATTCTTTGTAAGTCTAAAAACCTACTTGGCAATAAACCTTATTCTGATTCTGATTCCGATTCTGAATTTGATAAACCGGGGATTAACCTTTATTCCTCTGCCTCTGCCCAGTACCGGGGACCAGAGATGTTCTGTAACGAAGTAGAACTATTTAAGTGCTGTACTTAAGTACCAAAATGCAGTATCTGTACTTTATTGGAGTATAGATTTTTTCCCTACTTTTACTTTTACTCCAATAAGCGCTAGTTCAGTTCTCCATGTTCACTCAGGACGTAGCAGCTAACGTTAGCTAAAGCTAACCTAGCTGCTAGCTGTATGATAACGTTAGCTAAAGCTAACCTAGCTGGCTAGCTGTATGCTACATGCTAGCATAAAGGCTTAGCTCAGGATTCTGACTCTGGAATAATAAATAAAAGTAGAAAAGTAGAAGTGCTGTTGATGCTAATGCAGATGTAGTTTTCTGTTTTTGTAAACACCTGTATGGCCTTTCACACGTTTGAAATAATATAAACAATATCTATCACACTTTTGACTGCCTTTTTTTATATATACACAGTACTTGTACTTTTACCTATACTTGTACTTTTGATACTTGAGTAGCATTTTGGAAATACTTCTACTTAAAATACTTAAGTACAAAAAAACTGAGTACTTCCGCACTTCCACTTAAGTATGGAGTTGAAAGAACACTTCTACTTTTGCTCAAGTAAATTTTTTTATGTAGTACTTGTATTTCTACTCCAGTACTTTATACATCTCTGCCTTTATTTCTCATTCCTCTGCCCAGTACCGGGGACCAGGCGGGCGTGTTCATGGTCCTGGATGGCGGGTTGAAGCAGATAAAGGATGAAGGCTCATTGGACGTCAAAGGCCTCCTCAAACACATCCACACTCAGAACCACTGGCAGGTTCAGACCCAGGTCTGTTCACCACATTAATCCATCTTTATCTTTATTTTTAACCCAGGGATGACTATAACTAACTGTGTTGATACAGGCTATATATCGTAAGAACTGTGGA